CAAACAACAACAATAAACAATAACAATAAACAGTAACAAATCTCTCTTTTTTTTTCCGTTTTTTTCAACAATATTGTTCATACGATCTTTATATTTTAAATAAGCAATTATTTAAAAATGATAACAGTATAAAAGTAATTAAATCTAAATTGGACAAAAGAGAAATTCATAAAATTTCGATCAATGAGTTAGAGAAATAATATATTTCAAGTGAAATTCAAAAGGAAGCTAACGTTGGAAATACTAAAAATATTCACAAAAATGTAAATTACATACAATTTTAAGTTATTTCTCCTTTTTTTTTTTTCAATATCAACGATTTAATTGAAATTAAGTAGCAACAAAATGGCCAATATTCATCAAAATTTTGACAAAAATATCTCACCTAAATATCAATTAAAAAAAAAAGAAAGAAAAAAATTGCAAAAAAAAGAGAGGAAAAATTTATTAAATCAAAGTTTAAAAAAAAAAAAGTTGACATAATAATATTAAATGTTAACTTTGAATAAATGCGAAATATTCATTTTGGACAATGATAATATTGCAAATACGTATGAATGATTTATTTAAATATATTGTCACATATAGGAAATTTATTTTGTCATCAAATTTATTAAAAGATAAATAAATTACCTGCACATAATGGCTGTCAAATTGTAATGTAAATACTTTTGGTGCAGGATGAAAATCGAACGTAAAACGTGGAATGGCACGAAGTATTTTGATTAAAATTTCCGAAGCCATAATTATATTGCAATATCAAAAATCAGGTATTATGCAAATAAATCAATTGTTCAATATTAAACATTGTTGTTGATGTTGTTGATGTTGTAGTTGAAGATGTGAATGATGATGATGATGATGATGATGATAATGATGTATTGTTGATTGCTATACCTGTAAAAGGGAATATATCAAAATAATCGATATGTAATCATTTCAATCATTGGTAACACGAGAAGAGTAGAGAGAAAGAGAAAAACAGAGAGAGAGAGAGAAAGAGAAAAAAAAGTAGAGAAATATTTATGTTTAAAGTAGTAAATCAATTCAAAAAAAAGAAAAAAACAAAATAAAAAAAAAAAAAAAAACGGAGAAAGGTGAATATTTTATTTTTCATCATCATACCCATAAAGCATACAAAAGAGAAAAAAGAAAGGAGTGAAAAAAAA